ATACCAGCACTCTGTATCAATCTGTATCATCTTTTTAAGTACTATTCCTGAACGTCACTGGCAGACTGTCCTAAACCTCCTGTCTTCTGCAAATGTTACTTTTGCTTTTTCAAGTCTGGATAGGTTTCACTGTGAAACAATAGACAAATATGGCTTTGCGTTCCAAGATTGTTCTTGCTCTTTGAAGCAGCAGGATTGTGTAATTTTGTAGCAATGAAGTCCCAGACAGGGAAATCTTAATCAACATTCTTGGCATAATAGGAAAGCTTTGGCTCAAAGGATGTTTTGTTTGATTATTTAATTAATTTTTTTCCTCTCATTGCACTCTCAAAGGGAAGTAAAAAATTCCAACAACTTTTTTGGCCCTTTCCCGCTGGTTGTAAGTTAAGCTCAGAGTTTTCCTAGATGTGACACTGATGCCATATATTTCAGCGCTGTGAGTGAGTTTAAACGTGGAATCACAGGCCAGGCTTGACGAAGTGCTCCCAGTGGGGTGGTCTTTCTCCACAGCGGGGAGGTTTGGGGTTGAGCCAATCAGGTGACGAGACGCACCGGCTTCCAGAAACACCGCCAAAACAAGAGAAAAATATTTTGTGTTTCTTTTGCGCCTTCACTTTTCACACCTGTGCTAGTGGCTTACTCTATATTTATTCTGGGCTTCTTTAAGTCCACCGAGGTCAGAGGTCAACGATTTGGGTACAAGCATAAATTAGGAGCTGGAGGGGAGAAATCACTTTGACAGGGACATTTTTGGATGTTTAAATGCTGTTGCTGTTCATGCGAAGGTCAAGGTTTTTTTGGCATCATGCTAGTTCAACCTATAATGACAATTCTGTCACCATTTGCTCTTGACATTTTAAACCTGTATGACCCTTTTTTTTCCCTCTGCACACACAAAAGATATTTTATAAATGTTATGTCCATAAAATGGGCCCAATTTTGTTATCCCTTTAAGTTCTTACTGATGAATGTTTAGGAAAACATGCAACAACCCCAAATTTAAGCCACATGAATTATGTATAGATTTCTTTGCGATATAAAACAAAAATATTGTACAAAGTGTTATTTATTTTAAAGAGAAATCAGCAAAACTAAATTGCTTTTTCAATATTATGAAAATTTGAATACTTGGTAGAACATGTTAATAGTTAAAGTAGAAAAATACACCTGTGGTTACTCTGACAGGACACAGAAATTGCTCACAGAGGGTTAAGAATCTAATGCAATGACATTCAGACATATTAAAGGGATAGTTCACCCAAAAATTAAAATTACCCCATGATTTACTCACCCTCAAGCCATCCTATGTGTATATGACTTTCTTCTTTCAGATGAATACAATCAAAGAGCCGTGTGGAGCACCTTTTATGATGGATGGATGCACTTATTTGGGCTTCAAAATCTCGACCACCATTCACTGCCATTATAAAGTTTGGAAGAGCCAGGACATTTTTTTAAATAACTGATTGTATGTATTCGTCTGAAAGAAGAAAGTCATATACAGCTATGATGGCTTGAGGGTGAGTAAATCATGGGGTAATTTTCATTTTTGGGTGAACTATTCCTTTAAGTGTTGTTTTGTGTCCAGAAGTTTCCAAATGCCTTTTGGGACCACTGTACATGTTACACCTGGCTGTTTTAATTTTCAATAAGATGGTTGTAGATCTTTCCTGAAGGGCTTCAAGCATGGAAATAGCTCTTGTTGAAATATTTGTGTTTGTTGCTTTCTATTGTTGCCTTGGAAATTCTGAAAACAGAGCTGATTATAATCAGAAGAGCCTTCCTTTATCTCATGTAATGCTGCGATCAATTCTGTGACATTACTGTCCCTCAAGCCTTTGTGTTCATCATGTTTGCTAATCATAGGACTGTAAAAAAGGTTGCATTTTTTTCTCCTGCTACCTCAAATTTTCCTCTACATCATCTACCATAGCAAACGCTGATCAGTGCAGTGCGCGCATTCCTGTCTCCCCTCCCATTTCTGCCCCGTTGAAAAGGACTGGCGCTAGTACTACAAGTTTGTCCTCATTCCCCTGGCTAATACATTGGAATTTCTTGGCTGATACCTCATACTTTCTAACTTCAGTAGAATAAAGATCTAGTTGTTTTATTTTGGAACTCGTTTACAGGCTGAATATTTACAGATACAATTTATCCTGTGTTATTATTGGTCAATAGGGGAAACTTGTTCCAAAATAACAACCCCAGCCAAATGTTCGTTAAAAACTCTTGTTTAAACTCTTGTTAAATCTACAAACTAACAGTCTGATCTCAGGATGGATTTTCAGTACATTGCTAGTATATTAGTTAGATAATTACCTAGATAAAAATTGTAAGCCAACACATGCTAGCAATGTTGTTAACTAGGGAGTCATGCTAACTCCAATACAGCATTTGTTAGCATGTAAGCTAATGCGTTGCAGATTTGATTAATCTCTCATTTTTAAATGAGGTCAATCACAGCAGCTGTTCAGGGTAACAGATTTTAATTATGGACATCACATGGTGATCCAAATGAACCAATCCAAATGAACCAACAATATTGTCAGTTTTGATTTCTATACAGCTTCATGCTCATGGCAGCTAATAATTTACTACATTGGACATAGGGGTGGGCGATATGACCAAAATCTTTTATCACAATATGAGTAATTTTATTTCACGGTAACGATATACAGTATATCACAATATAGTTATTTTTGCTTTAAATAAGCTCTTTATGATACCAACATTTTTGAAACCATGGAAATTTCATAATTCTTGTCACCAGTGTTAATATCACAAAAAAATTAATACTAGCCTAATAAATAAATAAATAAACTCAAACTCACTGAAGACAAGTAATCAGTCAGCTATTAAAAATGAATAAGTAACTAATTACAAGCAATCGGACAAAAAACTACAGTAGAACAAATAAGAAATGCTGCATACATTGTATAAAGTAATCAAATGTATAAAAACACTGCATATTATTCACTGTGTAAATTAAATATATATTTCTTCTTATTAAAGTTCCAAAAGTGATTTAGTCAAGAGCAGTGAGAGATTTTCTCTCTTTTGTTGTTTGATTAAGGGTGTGTTCACACTTGTAGTTCGGTTCTCTTGGTTTGTTTGGTCTGGACCAAAAAAGAAAACGATACATTTGGTCCTGGTCTGCTTAGCATTCACACTGGCATTTTTGACAGTGAACCTAAAGATACCAAACCTAAAGGCATAGTCGTACGTCCACAACCTGATTGGTCGGGTTGTGGACGTTCCCGAATATGCCACGTTCATATATGATCGTGGTTTTGCGCAGCTTGTCAGTGAACAACGGCTCTGTGTAGTAAATGCTGCTTCATGTGAAAGCACGCACGTGATGGAGATTTACCGTTGATAACAGAAGCAGCTTTACTGACAAGATGCGCATTAAATATTGCATGCGATTTATCGTGCAGCCCTAGTCGCATAGTGTCGCATCTTGTCATCACATCCTGTTTTTGGTTCATTTGGAAGCATTTGGTCCATGTTGCGTTCATATTTCATTCGAACCGCACCAGAGTTCGTTTGGAACCTTGGTGCAAACCAAACAAGCGGACAGAGACCGCTAAAAATATGGGTCTCGGTCTGCTTGTTTGGTTTGCGCCAGGGTTCGGATGGCAGCGTTCACACTTACTCAAACGAACCGCACTAACAGAGCAATCGCACCAGAGTTAGTTTTAATCGAACCAAACATGACAAGTGTGAACACACCCTAACATGAATGACAGACAGAAGGAATATTAGACTGCTGTCACTTTAAGAGCTGCCCGGATCCAATATACTTACCAACCCAGTCTCATAAAAATACGTATATTAAAAATGTTTTGAAGTCACAACATAATACTCTTCAAGTAATTGGGCGAAAATTACGCTTTATTAATCGAAACTCTGTAAATCATACACTGTGTGAAAATAATTTAAAAGGAGTTTTACTGCCTCTAGTGTTAATTTTTTTGGAAACTGCAGTGATATGTACTTATTGGTACGTATTTCGCGTCTTGCAAAAATGTGCCCCCAGGTACGTATTTGCCATGAGACCGGGTAGATACTTACACATGTGTTTTCTTTCTCAGCTGTTTGCTTTCACTTAAGACTTACTGTGTTTAAGAGGATACTTGCAAAGACGGGATTTTGACACAAAGAAGTGTGTATTTAACAGTTCAAGGCCTATAAAGCAGCAAAAATAACTCCGTTCAATACTCCCGCACTCTATGAGTGCCGTCTTCACGTGCACATGTTTTTCTGACAGCGCTCAGAAACAGTCTTTCAGACAGTGCACACATACAGCGAAATGAGTTCTCTTTTAAACCGCAATGCCTAAAAACACGTGCACACAGTAAGTTTTCGTGACCACATAGCACAGCAACGTCACATGAGCGTGTAACTGTGATAGAGGAGATAAAGTCTCTAAAATCTCTATCGGTTGACAAATTTGTACCGTTAATCGTGTCTATTGGTATATCGCGTTCCTCTAATTGCATATTTTGGTTGTTACAAAGCTGGGTGCATTGATATTAAAAATCTTGCTAATTATTGTCATGTTATGATTGATAACTGATAAGCTTTTGTCTAAATAAAAAAATAAAACACTAAAAAGTAAAATCAGTCTACAAGAGAATTTAGGCAGCATAATGTACAGTATGATAGTGGATATTCATTTTGAGTTTTGCTAAAGATTAAATAGTGTTCGAAAATGTTGGCATCTAATTTAACTAGCTTCTACCAAGTATCCAATGAATTTACATTTAAGTTTAATTAGCTGCACAACCTACATCAAAATATTTGTTCTGTTATTATCCCATTAATCTGTTCTATATAAATTTGCACTCTGTTTTGCATTTAGCATTGGTTTGTTCGTTCACATGGTTCTCGACCCATCAGAATTAAACCAGATTAAAACACTTTTTCTTTTTTATTTACCTCAAGTTCATAGTGTAAGATGCCTCCACCGAACTAAGCTTTATTTCTTTATCACACAGATAAAGAAATACTTTGAGCTGGAACCTCTGGCACGAGGCAAGAGCTGGATTCTGGAGGGCAGCACGGTGGACAGCATGGACGCGGTGAAGGAGAGCTTCGGTCAGCTCATTCATCTGCTCGAGGAGCAGGACCACGAGACAGGCAGGATATGACCCGGGGACGACATCCCAGCATCCCTCAGACACTACCGAACGCCAACTCACCACAGGCCAGCACATCCCGGTTCAGCCTGGCCGTCGTGTAAACTACATTGTTACTTCAACTCTGTTACTGTGGTGAAACAAATTGAGCCATGGGAAAAAATGGACTATGATAAATCCTCACGTAAGGATACATATCTGCAGAAAAAGAAGGTACCTCAGCCCTTAAGTTTGATACCTTCTCTCAAACCACACGTATTAACCCAGAACAAGCGTTCGACACACGATTACCATTCTCAGTTAAATGGTTGTATCTGTCCTTTTTAATGCAGACCTAGTTGCACATTGCTACTAAATAGATGGTGTAATCATATTCTTGGTCACGTAGGGCAACTGGAAGTCATGTAGTCCCTAGTTTGTTTTCTCAGCACAGCGTGCGAGTGATTGCGTGAATGCGTGTTTGCGAGAGAGATATGGCAGTTTGTACTTAAAAGCCTTAAAGTGAGTCCTAATGTATTTTTAAAACAAACGTTTCATTGTGTTCTCACAAACGACAGTCTTTAGATGTAACTCAAATAGTCCGTCTTAAATATTTGTGGCTGTGAAGTGAAAAGAAGAGTGATTCCTCAGTCGTGAATAAATAAATATTCTATAATATCTCTAAACTGCATGGAGCCGCACTTGATGTACCATTGGAGCTTTAGAGTGACTATAAATGCACATTTTTAATTTGGGATCATTGAGGACACTGATGTTTTCATAACTTGGTCTAGTATTGTTTGACAGCTGATCATATCCAGGATTTTGCTCGTCTGTCTCTTTATCTTGGATGGTATTGGTTGACAAAGCCCTACTGAAACATATAACACCGGTTTGACTTCGTCTTTTCACCAAAGACACTACAACCACAATCAGCCCCTTTAGGTGACAGCCTTTGATTTTGTATGCATGATGTATTTACCATGTGCTTGTTTGGATATCGCGTTATTGGAATTTTTTTGTATTTCTGTTGGCCCTGAATGTAACATGCTCTCTCTGCATCATCACACCTCCTCTAGTCTCAATGTGGTCCCATTTAGATGAGTTTCTGGAGGAGGAAGGAATGCAAGAGCCCAGTCCGGTGTTAACCAAATCATTCATGTGCCACATCAGCCACACTTCCAAAAGCAAGCAAACACCTTGAATGCATAATCATCATCAAACTCGGGCAACATCTTGGGTTTTATTTATATCTACTACAATTTTATACCCTCCGAACCAATTCAGCTGCCTTTTTGTAATTCAAATATTTGTACATTTGTTACAGATTAGTCTCTGGAAAGACATGTGCCTGTCTTTGTACGGGAAGATAAAAAGTCTAGGTGGACTTTTAGCCATTTACCAAAGTGGCATCAAGTCAGGTGGCACATGTTTGACAGTGTTTATGCATAATTTCCACTGAGCAACATGGAAAATAAAGGCAGAAGAAGGACAAATATGTTGTCTTTCATGATTTACTTATAGGATGATATCATGTTTCACATTTTTGGCTGATGAATAATGGATGAGAACAAATGATCTAGACCTTGACACAGAGTTGTGAAGGTCTTCAAGGGTCCTCTCTATGATATCGCTTTCTGTCTTTCTTTTTTCTGCTAATAATTTTTTATATATTAACAAAACATCTTTATTGTCTTTTTTTTTTAGGAAGTATGAGTAAAAGATTATGGAAAACTAGTTAAAGGAATAGTTCAACCAAAAATGTAAATTAGCAGAAAATTTACTCACCCTCAGACCATAAATGAGTTTGTTTCTTCTTTACTTGCTCACCAATGGATCCTCTGCAGTGAATGGGTGCCGTCAGAATGAGAGTCCAAACAGCTGATAAAAACATCATAATAATCCACAAGTAATCCACACCACTCCAGTCCATCAATTAACATCTTGTGAAGTGAAAAGATGTGTGGATTACTTGTGGATTGTCATGATGGTTTTTATCAGCTGTTTGGACTCTCATTCTGACGGCACCCATTCACTGCAGAGGATCCACTTGCGAACAAGTGATGCAATGATACATTTCTCCAAATCTGATGAAGACACAAACTCATCTACATCTTGGATGGCCTGCGGGTGAGACAATTTTAAGCAAACTTTCCTTTTGTGTGAACTATTCAAGTTTTGCTTTCAAGAAATTAATTCTTTAGTTTCACTTTTTTCTTCATGATATCAAGATGCTATACCTTTATTTCTGACTTCATGTCCCCAAATTTACAAAAATGAAGTTTAATTCAGAATTCAGATCCATTCATTCCACTGACCCATTTACCAATAATCATAGTTGGCTTCTTTGATATTTCTCTTTGTTTCGCTCATCTGGATGGCTTTGAGCTCGCTACTGACTAAAGAGCAAGGAACGCCAGCATCTCTGTAGGTCATCAGTACAAGAGTGATTAGTCATAGTGTTTCCCTGTCTATGGATTAGTCATCTACAGTCATTTCCAGCTGTCCTCATAACCCACAAAACTATGAGATGGAGGCAGTTTCTTTTCATTGGCTTGTAGGGATTCCCATAAATCAGACTCTGAAGTTAATATATCCATGTATCCAATAAACATAATGTATCCATGTCCATACAGGAGCTTAACAAAACCAGATCCTGCTAAAATGTCAAATGACACATTTATAGATGCTGGGGATTTAACAAAACAAAACAGAGTGGGGACAAAAACATTCAGGCAACCTGGACCACAATCACTAGACCACATTGTTATTCTATGACTTGAAAGAAACTTTCTTCTACTTTCAGTTGACCGCAGACATCGGGAAATATAATTAGGCGCCTAAAGTTTAACCTCTCTCTCATTTCTCCTTGACCGGAGGACAACTCAAGTAAGAAGCAGCACAGACACTGATGATCAGTTAATAATTTCGAAATACAACATTGAAATTGTCCGTGACTTTGCTTTCTGGGGGCAGACAGAAAATTATTCCTCTGATTTTCAGATCTGACTGACAAAACCTGTTCTGACAGCATGAAATGCAAATGAAGCTGTTGAAAGAATGAACTTCTGAAAAATCCATCTTTTGGTAATGGGTATTGTGTCTGGCGAAGAGACATTATCTAAAATAACCTGAGACCATTTGAAATGACTCACTCGCGCTATACCAGATGAATATTAGTATGCAGACAGATGAACACTTGGGATTAATCTTTCAACTTTAACCATGTCTGAAGAACTTCACAAAGCTGTCTGCAAGACAAACTTTCAATATTTTCTTCTTTTTCCCCAGTGTCAGTCTGACAGCCTCGCGCTAATCTTCTTTAAACGTCTCTGCTCTCTATCACACCTGTGCAATGGGAGAGTTTCAGAAAGTTTCTTAAATTTAAGTATTATTAGTTTCTTTGGCAGCTCTTAAAGGAATAGTTCGCCCAAAATTGCTGTCTTTCCTCTGTGAAAAACAAAAGATATTCTGAGATATAACTGTTTTTGTCCATACAATGAAAGTTTGTTTTGAAAGTCATTGACTTTCATTGACATGAGGGTAAAGAAAAATGACAGAAAGTTCATTTTTGGTTGAACTGTCCCTTTAAGACAAGGTGAATAAGGTAAACACATTTAACTGACAGATATATCTCTTTTTTTTTTTGTATTACACATTTTCTAAAATTTTATGTTTTATATATGCAAATGAGACACTATATCGTTAAATAAGCACTGATTTGTATATAATTCCAGAACAGAAATCTAAACATTGGATAAAGCCATGTTCATAATCCAAGTTCTTGACATAAGAGAGTCAAAGATACTTCCAGAGAAGATTTTGGATCTCTTTTTATAACAAAGAATTATGGAAGCATTATGGAACAATTCAGGCTTTTTTTCCCCTGGCAATTAGGAGAAAAATAGTTATAACTGCGAGATATAGACTCAAAAAAGTCAGAATTGTGAAATAAAAAGTTGCAGTTACCTTTTTAGTCTTTATTCTGTGGAGAAAACAAAAAACAGAATTGCGAGATGCATTTCTCTACGAAATTGGAGGAAAACAGTGAGAATTGCAAGATATAAACTCAGAATTGCATGAAAAAGTTGAAATTATATATCTTTTATTTTTATTTGAGGAAAAAAATGAAAAACAGAATTTTGAGATGTAAACTCCGAATTCTGAGAAAAAAATCGGAATTTTTTGTTTATATCAAACAAAAGTTTTATGAGAATTGTGAGAATAAAAATCTGAATTGTGTAAGATAAAAAGTCGCAATTGCTTTATTTATTTTTTATATATATTTATTTTTTTATCCTGTGGCAGAAATGGGCTTCCATGGAAAACAGTGCCAGCAGCTAGAAAGAAAAAAAAAACATGTTTTTCGGAATGAAATGTTATCAAATCTGGCAAATGACATGAACCCAACCCCCTCTGTGAAAACCTTCAGAATATAGATAGGAATAAAACGGTAAAGTTCGGTATGTGTAAGTGCAACTGAAGTGGAGATTTCTTGCTCAAAAAAACGTATTTTGAGAAAACAGCTTTTAAAGATTACGTAATTGAAACAAAGTAACTGAAGGCTATTGATGCAAATGAAATAAACACTTAGAAGTGCATTTGGGATGTTTTCTTTCTACTGTTCTGACACAGCATGTTACGAAAAGCCAAACAGCCCAAAAAAAAACTCAAAATTGTGCAGGAAAAAACAATGAAACTCAATCCCAGAATTGCCAATGAAAACGAACTTAACTAGGCCATACTCACTGAAAGCAAAAGCACATGCGTCTGAAAAGCAATGACCCTTTTGCATTGCTTTTTTCCTTCATGCTCATGAGAAATGTGCAATTCTTATCGCCGCTGTACCTCCACAAACATGTTCCCATGACTGATTATAATGAGTTAGGGCTGCCGCTTGCGTTGCCTCCATTAGTGGATCCCATTTTGCATTGTGTTGCTTCACAAGGGTCAAATGTAAAGACAAAATGTTTATTCTCGGCTTTACAACACTGGGACATCAAAACAGGCCCGTCTGGGGTAACGAGGCATGCATGCTCATTTGGGACACTTTCTCCATCAGCGAGTGAGAAAACCTCTTCTTAGTAATGTTAGGACTAACAAAGACAGTCTCTAATAGCGGCTCTCTGTGATCTGGTTTCAAAGCCTCGAGCCAGGGTTTAATTGCTGATTGTTTTTAACGGCAGATTCAGATCCCTCTCTGATTCGACTACGATTCTCTGTCGGCGCATTGAAGTTGGAGGAAGCGTACGCCTCTTTTGATGGCTCTGTGCATTCCATTTCCTTGTTAAAATTCAAACCAAATTTATACGACCGCTAATAGAGAACATTTCTGAAATGGCAAAAACAGTCAACGGCACATTAATAAGCATGGATTTTCCATACAGGGCCACCAGTCACTCGCTCTACAGCAATCCCTGGTTTTAATAACGCTCTGTAAACACTAAAGACAACAGACTGAGTGTATAAACCAAGATAAAGGTCTGTATATTGCATGCATGAGCTGCAACAGAAACACTCTGGTTTGCCTTCATCAAAAGTGGACAGACAGGCAGAAGAGACTGTTTTGACTTCTGTCCAGAGCGGCAGAGCTGTTCGATTACACCCCCGAGTATATTTCTCATTCTATTTCCAGGCATCCGTCGCACACAGAGTGAGCTAAACCTCAGCTGACCAGTGGCTGTCTCGCAGACATCGACTGACTCACACGTTTGTATTGAACTTCTATGAGAGACCCAGCGGGGATCCGGCGGACTGGTTGCTAGAGAGACTCAATGAACTGTCAGGAAATGACCCACAGAGCTCAGTTCTCTCCAGACGGGTTCTCTTCAAACATTTTGTTTGCGCCAACAGAACGCTTTATGCTTTTTTGAGCACTGTCCTTTTGTACTGGTTTATACCTAGAGATAAAGGGTGTCCTCTCATGAACTTGGCAGAAAACTGTAGACCTTTCAAATCAATGGTGACTGTTTGTACTGCAATACAAAAATCACTTTCTTAATAAGTTATACTTTTTTTTTTTTTTTTAGCAATTGTAGATCTTATGCACATCAGCCGTCTTTAGAATTTTGTATTTGAACTTCCGTTTTTGTGTAGCTTTATAGCATCGCTGTTAAAGCTGGTGAAGTGGCTTTACTTATTGTAGAGTTAACAAAAGTTATCATGTGCATTTTAATGTTTGAAGCTGATGTCCTAACAAATGTCAGTAGACCGGTAAGATTTTAAAACGAGCGGTTCATTCAGAAATTCGTTCGACCTGGCACGCTGCAGAAACACAGGAAGACAGAAATCAGTAATGATAACTCATCAGCAGGCTACTCATCAGTTCGTGAGTATATGATTCATTAAATGAATCACTCAAGAGTCACTTGCGTGTCAAGCTACAGGTTGTGTGTTTGCTTTTGCTTGCATCTCGCGAGGATAACAATATGAAGGCGTCTTTTAGCAATTATTTTATGGTAAAAAACGATCTCTGTCTGCACACTATTTTCAATATACAAACACATTTACAGCTCGAGTAAAATATGAGCTCTTTTGCTTAAAATTCAGCACCGTGATTCAGCGCCGCCAAGATTCACTTGTTCCGAAACGAAATGCTTTTATTTTCATGGAACACAAAAGTTAAAATTTTTGAAGAACAACTTGCCAGTTCGTTGAGTCAGTTCGTTGAGACCTTGCGTGTCACGCTCCAAAAATATTCTAGAACACTCCAATAGCCTAGGGACGTTGTAATTAGATTTTTGGAGCTTGACAGCCTGTGATCACCGTTAACTGCTGTTCAGGAGTTTCATAACGCTTTGACACCAAATAATAACAGAATTGAAATTTGTAGGTATCCAGTTCTCAGAACCTTGAGCAATTGCTAACATTCTGGCGCAGTTATTAAAGAAGTCGTGAACAAACATTCTTCCGGTAGGCCTAATGTTAATAGAATGTTCGTTCAACGTTATCCGGTCTTTAATAACGTTCTTAAAACGTTAGCACTAAAACATTAGGCTATTTATATAGGCTATCGTTTATGAAATGTTCTTCTTAAACATTTTAGTTGGACGTTCAACAAAGATGGTTTTTAAAGAGCAACATTCAAGAAACATTCCCATAAAGCTGTCAAATAGAAAGTTCCCCTTGTTTCAATGTTCACATAACCAAAGAAAAAAAATTAAAAAAATGTACATGGATGTTTTAAAAAGTCAGAGATCATCCAGAAATAACATTTTCATAACTTAATAAGAACTTTAGCAAAACGTTCTTAAAACATATTTTGTTAACTATGTTCCTTTAATACACAGCATAATATCTGAAAACAATCTTCTTAAACATTTTTGCCTCTGAGGTAAATTTATCTTGTTTTATGCAAGTTTTTATTTTTTTCTGGACAACATAATACAATTACTTCTTTAGTAGGAAGAGATTTGGTCATATACTGTAATGTGCCAAAATATAGGCTAATTAAAAGACTTGTCATAGCACTTGCATATTATTGCTCTTTTGTTGGTTTTGATTGCTTCTATTGTCATCATTTGTAAGTCGCTTTGGATAAAAGTGTCTGCCAAATGATTAAATGTAAAATGTCAAACCTGACCATAGGAAGGTCAATGGATTTGAACTTCATCAGCATGACTATAGGAAAAAGTTTCCTCTCTCGTGTAACATCAGCTGTTTCTTAACATTTGTTATAGTGGCGGCCTGCTATTTTTTCCAAAACAAGTTAGAGACAGTGACACAGTGTTCACTTTTGATTACGATCTTCCTTGTTGCAGTCATTTCAGATATGATTACTCTTCCCTGTTTCTGAGCCATCACAGATGCTGCCCAGCAGGTATCGGCGAGGCCCAGACGCCCATATTCCCTCATGACAACCGCTGCTGATTCAGCTGCCCGGCGAGAGGAGACACATATCATCCCTGACAGCACAAACACACCTCACCTTACTGAACACCGCCTCTCTCCATACTTTAGTTTCAATGAAGCCAAAGTAAGTTTATCGCTTGTTTGTTTGGTTTGTTTATAAAGAGCTTAACTTAGAGTCTAGACAGAACTGTTGTCATAAAACCTGTTAATTTGACTTTTTATGGCATCTGTGCACAATATCAGATGAAGAAAAATGAGTTCCCACACTGTCTGAAAAACATCTCAGTGGGTTTGAATTAACGATAAGCATCTAATGAAGCCTTGCAAAGCAAAGAGGTGGTGTCGCTCTCCTTTCCAATTAGCCGTCTGTGCGACTTCCTGGCAAATTAGTTTCCTCGCTGCAGCTCAGACAGTTCCGGTGGCTTCTGCAGAACTTGGATTGGCTTATGTGTGTGTGTGTGTGTGTGTGTGTGTGTGTGTGTTCAAGGCAATCTGCTTGCGACTAGCATGGAATAACAAATTCCCACTTTAAGTATTCAAGGTCAGGACCAATTAAGTTCTTAAAGGTTCTTCAAAATCCCATCACTGAATTACAGATTTAAAATGGCAAGATTTATGTGAAGGTTTTGGAATAATACCTTTTCCAGAGATTAGTTTTGCTGCTCTACATTTTTAAATCCAACCACAGTGAAGTAGGAGACATATTTGGTTCAATTTTTACTTTTTATATTGCATCTTTACAAATGGCATCATTAACTTTATATACATTAAACATTTACATACAAATACAAAACTAGAAATTTATAGCTGGATCTCTAAAATAAAAAAGACAAACAATATATGGCAAGAAAACAATGCTAAAGTTGATATTGTTAATTTTATACAACATATGATAAACTGGATTCCTCTGTCTGAGCACCCACATAAAAACAGAAAAATATTAGCAAAAAAGGGTATATTTTGATTTTTAGAAAACACTAAAATCAACATGATTTCTGTAAAATAAAACCAATTTTTGGTGTCAGAGTGAAAACAAATCAGACATAGATATTACTGACAAAGCTGTTTTTGTCAGCTTTGATTGTAAACCAATCCAGATCTACAAAGTACATTTATTAGTGAACATTAGATTAATAAATAAAACACATGCATGTTTTGCTGCAGATTTCATTTGGGGAAATGACAACTTTACTTTTTTTTTTTCCTTCACAAAATGTAACACTTTTCAAAACACATTTATCTTAGAGTAACATTGCACGTTATAATAAATAATATTCTTTCAAAGACGACAAAGGAAAAGACGAGAGAGATCATTTATTCGGACTATAAATGTATAAATAAAAAAAGGCAAAAAATGTATAAATAAACATCTACAACAATAAGCATCTTCCACGCGTCTGTGGAAAATAAATAAGAGTACACGTCTGTACAACATGAACACGACTCTGTGCTCAAATGGAGTCCTGCTGTTGACGGTGGTTTATCCAGTCAGTAACAGAGATACATGGCTATAATCCATGTAATCTTCATCATCCTCCTCTTCATCCGTCTCTTCAGAGAGAGCTACGGAGGAATATAGCAGCTGTTGCATTAGTATAAAACACAACAGCATTCAGACACAGAGTCTTACTGCATCTTTCTCCCAAAGCATCTCTAACTGATGCTTTGCAATTCACACAAGGTTGTGGGATCACAGCTCAGAGAGGAACGAGAGGGTGGGATTGAGTTTCTCTGTGGAATGGCGCCTTACCGCTATCTTTTATTAGCGGGACAATTTCTTGTATTTGTCATTGTATAAAATAAAATAAAATCAAGCAAAGAGACACTACGTAATCCCTTCTTATAAACAAAAATATCGCTGTTTGGAAGATGACTCTTCAATACCACACACAGACTCGGCCGGGTGAAATATGGTTCTACTTTAGGGCATTAACAACTGATCATCTAAACATGTTCCTACTAAACATAAAATCAAAATTTTCCCACATGAGATTTGTTATGTCCCACATTTTAACCATTATAAGAAATGATATTTTCTAGAAACGTGAAGAAAGTCCTTTCTTCTAGAGGAATAAGTGTCATTAAAAATACTTATAAAACACAGAATATGGTTAGAAAAATAATTTTTTTTCACATTACGCAAAATGGACATAACAAACCGACAGTGAAAAGATGGAGTTTCCCTTTATTACACATAGACAATAGACAAAGGTGTTAGAGATGTTAGCTGGGGTCGGAAACGAACGTCCGCAGACAATATTTGTCTCTCGGAATTGATTTTCTGTGCATATAAAACACAGCATACTGACCATTTCAAAAACTGCAATATATATCTATATATTAAAATACACATTTAAAAAAAACTTTCTGCCCCCGTATAATTTATATTTCCAGGGCATTTTTTGTCACTTTCGCAACTGGTGAATTTCTGACCGTGCACCATAATGGCACCAGGTTCGCTTTTCTTTGTCCATCACAGAGCAGGTCAGCCTGCCATAGAGCAAAAACAACAAGACGATTCACAAACAGAGCACGCTAAGTGAGTTTACGTCCCTATGCACTTTCCACATGATACCATCAGTCACGTTTCTGTCTCTGATGCGCAGACAGTGAAACAAAATCAGATGAGCAGCATGTTCAAAACTGTCTCGCATCCCAAACGGAAATCCTTCCAGGCTTGACCTCAAAGATTTTGGCTTAACACCTCATCGATAGATGAGCAGGGGACAACTGCACTGTCCCGGACACTTCTAACATCTCATCGCCACTGAGTTAAGTCTTTGCGAGAGGAAGCCGACACAAGGGCTAATACACACTCTCTCTCCAACAGTCCTTATGTTCCTTGTGGGGGCAATGGGAGGGGCAAGAAAGAGGGGTGTTTTCGGCAGGGGGAGGGAATGCGGGACATGGGTGCGGCCAGGTTTAGCATCTACTACTTACAGTTGCAGGAGCCCGAGTGTTTGACTTCCAGGACAAGACCCAAAGAGCAGGCGGCCTGCCTCATGGCACACTCGCTCGGGTAAGTGGCATTGTCGCTGGCGCAGACGCTGTCGCCTGGACGACTCTCGGGACAAGTGTCCTCGCATACCACACAGCGTCCCTGTCCCGTCCGCTTGTCCCACAGACACTTTCGTCCCTCCCGGCATTTGATGTCTTCACAGGACCTGGCGTCTGAGGACGATGTGGAGTAGACAAAGAAAATGAGAACTGAAGTTTTCCCTTTACTGTATGTAAAACCACTTTTCAAGCCCCTTTCGGCTGTTAATTTTAGTCTTATTTCACTCCATGTGGTTTGAGGAGGTATTAAATAACGCAGAAAAGCAGCAACAGTCAAAGCTACCCATGTGAAACATGAATATGTTATTGCAACAGAAAACAGAGTAATGAGAACCACATGTTTAAGAGAGGATTGTGCAAGCACAAGATTTTGTCTTATTCTCACCTATGCATTTCCCCTCGTAACCGACTCCAATGGACCGTCCCATGATGCACGTTGCCCTTCGGATATGGCAGGCGCTGGCGTACACAATCCCGTCGTTCCCGCACAGGTGCTGATCCGGTGAGGTCACCTCAGGGCAAAGCCGGTTGCAGGTCACACAGTAGGCGTTGTTGGTCTGGTCCAGTACACACGTTGAGCTTCCAGGACAGCGCACATCATAGCATGATTCTGTATGAAAATAATAATCCATCAATGCTGGCAGCTTCTGTTTAACAACCTTTTACACCTGGTTACGTGATACTGATTTGAAACTATAGCTTTATATTTTGTCAATGCATAAAAGTGTAAAATTCCATTCTCTCTATATATATTTTGGTAGGCATATTATTTTTATTAAAAAGACATGAAATAATGCATGTTCGTTCAATTACTAGCAAGTTATCATTCAGTTCCTTTTAAATGCATTTTATTTAAAGAACTGAGAATCGAGCCTTAGTTTTAGACTCCAGGCTTGACCTCAAAGATTTTGGCTTAACACCTCATCGATAGATGAGCAGGGGACAACTGCACTGTCCCGGACACTTCTAACATCTCATCGCCACTGAGTTAAGTCTTTGCGAGAGGAAGCCGACACAAGGGCTAATACACACTCTCTCTCCAACAGTCCTTATGTTCCTTGTGGGGGCAATGGGAGGGGCAAGAAAGAGGGGTGTTTTCGGCAGGGGGAGGGAATGCGGGACATGGGTGCGGCCAGGTTTAGCATCTACTACTTACAGTTGCAGGAGCCCGAGTGTTTGACTTCCAGGACAAGACCCAAAGAGCAGGCGGCCTGCCTCATGGCACACTCGCTCGGGTAAGTGGCATTGTCGCTGGCGCAGACGCTGTCGCCTGGACGACTCTCGGGACAAGTGTCCTCGCATACCACACAGCGTCCCTGTCCCGTCCGCTTGTCCCACAGACACTTTCGTCCCTCCCGGCATTTGATGTCTTCACAGGACCTGGCGTCTGAGGACGATGTGGAGTAGACAAAGAAAATGAGAACTGAAGTTTTCCCTTTACTGTATGTAAAACCACTTTTCAAGCCCCTTTCGGCTGTTAATTTTAGTCTTATTTCACTCCATGTGGTTTGAGGAGGTATTAAATAACGCAGAAAAGCAGCAACAGTCAAAGCTACCCATGTGAAACATGAATATGTTATTGCAACAGAAAACAGAGTAATGAGAACCACATGTTTAAGAGAGGATTGTGCAAGCACAAGATTTTGTCTTATTCTCACCTATGCATTTCCCCTCGTAAGCGACTCCAATGGACCGTCCCATGATGCACGTTGCCCTTCGGATATGGCAGGCGCTGGCGTACACAATCCCGTCGTTCCCGCACAGGTGCTGATCCGGTGAGGTCACCTCAGGGCAAAGCCGGTTGCAGGTCACACAGTAGGCGTTGTTGGTCTGGTCCAGTACACACGTCGAGCTTCCAGGACAGCGCACATCATAGCATGATTCTGTATGAAAATAATAATCCATCAATGCTGGCAGCTTCTGTTTAACAACCTTTTACACCTGGTTACGTGATACTGATTTGAAACTATAGCTTTATATTTTGTCAATGCATAAAAGTGTAAAATTCCATTCTCTCTATATATATTTTGGTAGGCATATTATTTTTATTAAAAAGACATGAAATAATGCATGTTCGTTCAATTACTAGCAAGTTATCATTCAGTTCCTTTTAAATGCATTTTATTTAAAGAACTGAGAATCGAGCCTTAGTTTTAGACTTAAAAAGTCAACGTGAAACAGCATTCGCAACCATTTTACTTCTCTAATGTGGTGTATTTCTGAGTGAAAAAGGATATTTAATGAAAATTTTGGTCGGAATTTAAATTTCCCATATCCATTGGGAATTGACTGGGTCATAAAAAGTGGGTGTTACATAACAGAATGTAATTTAAAATGCTAGTTTAAACCGTTCTTACATGATCCAATGAGATCGCATGGCCTGCATGATTTCACCGGAACAAAAAGTTGTTTCAGAGGCGGAGCAGATTAGTATTTTGTGAACATTTTAATTCTGTAATGTGACGTATTTTTTCATAAAACAGGATATTCAGCAAGAACAATTTAAGTCGGGACCTACATTTTCTATATCCATTTGGAATTGAGTGGATTATGAAAAGTGTTACGTAACCAAATGTAAACAAAAATGCAAGTTGGTTAAAAGCAATTCCTACATTATTCAGTAGATTGCATAGCCTACGTGATGTCACTGAAACAAAAAGTTGTTATTTTAGGGAAGTTATTATTTTTAAATATTTAAGATTGCAAAGACATTTTCTTCTTTGCAAGAATGTACACAATAGTGTGTAAGTAATTACGCATTTAAATTTCATTTGGACTTTGAAGAAGGTTTAAGTGACCGTACTTTTGCATTTTCCCTGGTACTGTGCAGTCAGGTCAGGGTGTCTCTTGCACTTGGCCCTAAGGAGGGCACATTCGTTACGGTATGTTTTCCCATCGGAGCCACACACAGGCCCTTTAAAGGTGACATTGGAGCAGTCTGGGGCACATACGCAGCGAGGTTTATTCCGCTTGTTCATTTTGCACCGCTTTCCAGGACCACAGTCCACATTATCACAAGTCTCTGTGGAATCAATAAAGAAGGCTATGATTAATTGACATATCAGTTCCGGACTGACAAATGATCACAATGTTCATATACGTTCCTAACATTTCCTGTCTGAAATCTTCATAGGCTAACAATTCAAAGCCTCTTCCAGATTATTTCCATTCATCCAAATGATGAAATCACTCTTATGTGGTACCTTTACAAGGTATGCAGTTCGGTGCACCGCCATTGAAGATCAGCCACCGGAAAAGCGTGTTATTGGGTACATCCTCCTCGGTCCAAGCCGTGCCTAGACGGCCACTTCTACAACAGTCTTCCCAACTCATCCCAGACATGTAGAGAACCTGGCATCTCCCATTCTTGCCCTGCTGAAGCCAGCAGTTGCCAGCTGGAAAGAGCCACTTTATTACGTGCTGAATAATATTCTGCTCATATATCACTCATACCAGGCATGTAACTGAATGTAGCTAACTGAAACCAATTAGTGCCAAGCAGAGCCTCAACTACTTTGGACACTGAGGGGTACATGCTGGATTTTTTTTTTTACCTTACATGTCTTAAATTCCTACTTTTGGTCCCTTCAATATCTGGTTACATCTTTTAGTGCCAAGTTACATTATGAAATAACCACAGATTTTGCTTGATCCAGGTAAAAGATTTAAAAAAAAAACATTTGAAAATGATTTCAAACGTATTTTTTAAAAAGGAACTCGGGTTTAAATTCCAAATGTTCAAAGAGTCTTTCTGCCATCTGAATCCACTCAAACTCTTAAGAAACTCTATATTGTGGTTGTGCAAGCGTTTTTTTGTGCATTGCAAGGCAACATGCTCAACCGTTTAGACATAATGCCATTTTAAACATCATAAATGATAAAAAAAATACCACACTTCCTATTGCACAAAGTTTGACATAACGTCTGAAAATATAAATCATTTCAAGATCAGACAGGAAGTGCCTTTAAAATAAATATCTACTGTAAATTTTTATAGGTGTCTCAAAAACAAGTTCATATAATTTCTCTTAGTTTTTACGCACGAGAGGCACCAGCGCGCAACCGGACCGTTGCTCAAGTCCAAATCAGTGCATGAATGGCTTTATCACTGCACAATATCCCTCATTCAGACTTCAGACTGCACGTGAAGGATAGATGTCACTTTACCTTGTACTTTCTGCTGTTCCATCAAGTGCGCGAACCATATGAGAAGCGCGATAACGCCCTGGCGGAGCTGCGGTAACTGTAGCATCCTCAGAAAAAGTGGAGACGCGCGTTGGAGACAGATGGACAGATGTTCTCCCGATGCTTCGCACTCACTGACTGTCATACACACGGAATCCGTCTCGCTTTTTAAATCTATATGGGGTCTCGAGTTGGATGCCTGTGGTGGGCGGTCTTCATACTTCATAGGGGGGGTGGGGAGAGCATTGTAATAGTTTGCCCACCGAAATTTATCAGGTGACATTTGGAAGTCTAGAAACTTTCTCCCCTCAAGAGCAACATTATGATTTGGGGCTGAGTTTGGGGGGATTTCAAAGAGTTGGAAAACAGCAGAAAAGTGATTTGGGGTCTGTTTGTGTTTAATGTGGAAAGAAGGCTGATTGTTACAGCATAACAGTTATTTGATATAAATATTTTTTCTTTCAACATATGCCAAACTTTGAACTTGAACTTTATGAAACAGAAATCAGTTCTGCAAAATTGCAGAATAAATACTAGTTTATTTTGATGGCAAAACCTTTGATTGTTGTAGGATTGAAAATACAAATGTCTTTACATATTAATAAATTGGAATGTGCCATGAGGCTAAAATGTAATATATCAAAATAACAGGGTTGAGATTTATGCTTAATATTGCGCTGCTCTCGAGGTCTTGACGCTACAAGGTATCTGTAATAAAGATTTTAATGTTAATATTTCTGCAAATATCCAGTTTACTTTTCAAACTCATGGTAACAGGGTTGACTATTTTAGATTGTACCAGCCAAAAATCATAATACAATATAAGATGATAAAAAATACAAGTTCACAATGATGATTACTGTTATTATGATTTATTTTCAATAAAAAATGTACGTTATTATACAGATAAGGGGAATTATAAGGTAAATGGGCTGATGCCTAACCTGGAATTTGTCTTTTTAATAAAAATGTGTGTGTGTGTGTATAGTGAGAGAGAGAAATTGTTCATAGAATTCTAAAATGTTGATTTGTTCTAGGCTATTTTTTTAACGCATATACTATTATTTTATTTATTTATTATTTTTTTAAATACACATCTCTTCTAGATTCAGTGTAAACACTATGCTTTGGCAATACATTGTAACAATTGTCGTGCCAACAAAGCACATATTGAAATGAATTGGGAGAGAGAGAGAGAGAGAATAAATACAAAATACTTTTATTCATGTATTTTTGTTCATTCAAAATGTTGCAAATTTTTCATTAAAAATTCATTACTTTCATTTAAATTTGCTAATACAACAAGAACTGGGAACAGACCAAAAAATAAATAATACAAAATGGAGAAAGAATACATAAAAATGTTTAAAAATGAAATAAAGTTACTGGAATTTTGCCGAAATCCCTAAACACATATAGTAAAAGTTATAGTCAGTTTTTATATAATGCACAAAATGCACCCTTTTCATTTAATCCTATTGGCTTATATTATGGCCTAACTAACAATAACGAGCTATTAGTTTACTATTAACTGGCAGTTTTTTAATTACTACACTCTTTATCATTAAAGCTGTATATACTCTACTGTACAGCAAACCAGACAATATGAATAGAGACAACAGCATTTCTGTGCCGTGAAAATACATATGAACTATTA